TTTCTGATTAAATAAATTCCTACCATGCGAGTCAATTTTGACTATAATTTGATTTTAACAAAAAATGTTTATTATTTTTACATCCAGTGTTTTCTAAGAGAAGTGGAAATGGGTTGCACTTAGATTTTATTTTAGGTTCTTTTTTTGCAACACTGGAAAAAATAATTATTGTTCCCTCATCAAGTTCATTGAGTGTCTTCCACATTTTCACACTTCTGGATGCACCAACATCACTGAAAGGTTCTCATTCTAGTGCTGGTTACAGCGTGCTCATGTACCTCCCTACTGCTGACTACAGACTGAAATAAACCAGATTAAAATGAGCCCCAACTGAGGGAAAACTGTTTTGCAAATGTCTCAATCAACCTCCAGCCTCAGCCCTACAGATGTCTGCAGCTCAACAGAGATTTCGGCTTGTTGGGAAGCTCAGCAGATTCTCACCAGGGAAGCAGAAAGAGCGCTAACCTACGCTCCCACCGCAAACATTCATTAATTGATGCAGATGTCAGCGCGAGGAGTACGACTTGCCTTTGTTTGTAGATGAAACAGGGAGAGGGGGCCATGAGGGAGGGAAAGGAAAAAGGCTCCTTGCTCCTATGATGAATGCCGTCACAGCTGGTCAACGCTGCTTTCGCTTCCCTGCGCAAGCGTGGCTTCCAGGGGCAGCACCGCCCTGCCCGGCGGTCAGTCGGCACGGCTGGTTCCAGCCGGGGACAGGCGCACGGGCGCGGAGGGGAGCGCTGCCCGCGGGGAACACGAGCGCAGGGCCAGCCACGGGGCACGGGTTTGGTTTCTCCCACTCTCACGTCTGACGGCGGGACAACTCAAAAAGCAGGTAGGTGGGTGTCACAGAGGAACGCAAGCTTGAGGAGCCATGCTGTAGGCACAGATCGTAGAAATTTGACGCTGGAAACAAAGGGATACAGGTGAAATCTAAACCTGCAGGGTTTGTGAACCTTGGGCCATGCAGTGGTCCCCAGGCAAGGCAAGAGCAAGCCTCGTGCCATCGCGCAGGAGGACAGAAGTGATCCAGCTATTTACGGCATTTCAGCCAAATGTTACTCTCATGCAAGTTAACAGAAATGCCTGGATTTAGGATTTGGTTAGAGGTCCAAAGGAAAAACAATATAATTTATGGAAAATAAATAGCTCTTGACCAACTAATTGTATACTTTTAATGAGATAATGAATTTAATTGACCACTGCAGGAATTATGATGCTCTGAAATTTACTCTCAGTAAAAATATTTAACACTGTGCTCACACAAGCCGAATAACACAGGGGAGTAACATAAAATGATACACATCATATTGACTGAAAAAGAACTGAGAGGAACCACCGAAGAGACAGACACACACCTGCAGGAGAGACGCAGGAGGAACAAAATGGGCTTCTGCTGTCAATTCTCTGTTGACTACAGATGAATTCTAGGCAATTAGCTTGCTGTGCCAACGCCTTTGTGAATACTCTGAGGTCGTAAGATACAATTATGCACTACACGTTATGCAAATATAAAGTCACGCCTCTTCGGCACAAACCTGAGGAGCTGCTATGCTGATGAGCGGGGATCCTGAAGGACCAGTGAACTAGCTCCAGCGAACAAGCAAGCCGACACGAACCACACAGTGCGACGTGCTTCAACCCCCTTCCCTAATGCAAGCAGAGGGGAGTACTGAGCGGGGGCTAGAGAAGTTATCGTATCTCCCCAGGTTGTGCTCAAATGCCAGATCTGGTTTGGCATTCACACTCCGACACTAGAAAATCAGAAATGGCTGACAGAAGCACCGCAAGAGTTGTACACATAACAAGAACACACCAGCAGTGGAGGCAGGTTCTTGATTAGAAAGAAATTTTGAAAGTCAAGACGGGATTTTTAGTTCCTGAAAGACACACTCTAGGCAGCTGCAATCCAAAACAGGACACTGCCCTGTTACAGCACAAGTCCAGGAATTGGTCCAAGTAGGTGGTCTACCAGCTTTAGGGTCATGCTGGATGATAAACCGGCAGGGAAGACCAGCTGCCTCTTGCACAGCTTTCCATGCAGCTATACGTAGCTTATCCATTTGGTGATGCTAGGCGGTCATAAAATACGCACTTCACACACCTTCTGGTTTCTTCCCAGTTCTAGTCACAGAAAGAGTAAATTGTACTTAAAAATGTCATAATGGATCACGGCCACCACTGGGCTAGGGGCTTCTACTCGAGAGAAACGCCACTGACCTCTGAAAAGTGTGGAAAATTTTCTTGGAGGACTGAACAGCAACACCACCATAGTAACCTGCTGCTTGCACTGGTGCCAGGAAAGCACAGGCATCAGAAGTAAACACACACTTAGCAGAAGTATTTTAAACCATTGACTTTATTAAAATACTTCATACACAGTTTGTAGAGGAATGTACCTACACTTTCTGGAAACTCCACTGAAACCAAATTTTAATTATATATTTAACAAATGACAAAACAGTGGATGAGTTCATGCTGTACACCAAAGAACAGACAAGTTAGGGTTTTGTTTTTTTTATCATCATTGTTTTGCTGGCACAGACTCTTCTTTACTTCTTAGCTTCAATCTCTTGAATATCTAATAGCAGAGAAAGGTTCGCATTTCTCACAGCATTAAACCCATCAGTTCCAAGTGAAATTCCATTTGTTTTCATCAGGTTCTTCATTCAACCCCTCCCCAGTAGCCTCCTTTTCCAGAAAAGCAAAGGTGATCGACCACTCTAAAAAGCCACAGGTCATTGTGCAAGAAGAGTTCAACAATCAAATGTGAACGTGGAGGTCTGAACCTTCTCAAAGTCATTATTCTTTCAAAATATCCATTTCAAGCTGAGAGTGGAAAAAAAAGACACTGTCGAAATACAAGGGCCACAACCCATTCATGGGCTTGGTGGAACGCCCACGGAAGACAGCCTGCGGTGCTGCAGCTCTGAAGTAAAAGGTAAACCAGAAGCTAGGTCTTGTTGAAATGCAAGATGCGAGAGCTGGGAAGAAGAAAGACAGAAACAACCTGGACACATCCTCACAAGAATGACATGTCCTGAAGTCATGGAGAAGGCTGTAATCATCACAGATACTGCAACTGCCAGAGAACCATGAAGATCAGTGACAAAGTGTATGTTACGACAATCTCAATGACAAGTGTAATCTGGGGGAAACTATTTATACTGAGTGAAGACATAATTAACTGTGTGTTTCAATGCAAGATGCACAGAGGCTGCATAGTTTTTCACATCAAATTCATAAGGCTCTTTTTAGGAGATAATTTTGCAACCTTGCATAGGTGATATTATATCTTTTCTATAGGTAATATGCAGAAACTATGTACAGTTGGAAAAAAAGAATTTTGATGAACGCATTTTTTTTTCCCCTCAAGTTTTACCATAGTATAAAAGGTAACTTATATAACTCCTTCCGTTCTCTAAAACACATATGGAATACCCCAGAAAGAGACGCTAGGAACGCCACCTAAATGACGCCATGTGCATTTATACAACAGGTTGAAACAACTAGAGAAGCCACCACAAAGCACAGTCCTAAAGATTCCATACAGAAAAAAAAAAGTCAATTTTGCTTACAAACATTAAAGCTCATTTAAACAGAAATGCATTTTAGTTATACAAATTAATGAGCTTTGCTAATCAGACTGCTGAATGAATGGATGACTCAAACACTAAGTCAACTATAAAAAGAGCCAATTCGATCCCTGCTTGATAAATGTGTAGTAAACTTTAAAATCTGCATTTGGTTTCCAGTTAATCCCAGCTCAGAACAACTCCTCCATTAGACAGCCAGAATGCAGCTTCTCAAAACCCACATTCTGCACATCTGCCAGCGCGCTGCAGCAAGAGCCATCGGGGCACTCATGCGCTTCTTCATTTGGTACGAAAGAAAGTCAGGCAGTGGATGAGCGGGGTGCCGCTGGAGAGCCAACCCCACCTCTGGAATTGACACAACAACATGAGTGCCCTGTCCCCTGGGACACTTGTCCACCCCCCTAAATGGTTTCTCTTCACCCTGCAACTACCTAAACCAGGAGACTTTGCATCTCTGACATGGCTCTCGCCCGCCTAAACCACCTTCTCTGTTACACAGGAGTTGTCCGGCATTTCTTTTGCCATTTTGTGACTGGATCTAAACCACCATCATTAGCACTGCTTATTACTCTTGCATATCACTGCGATGTGTACTTTTTTAGTAATATTTACAATGGTATCACTGTGAAGAACTAAGCCCTGTACTAGAAACAGTCTCTTAACAGAGACCTCAATACTAAGGATTTGGTGTTATCCTTATCTACAGATGAACTTGAGAAGGCAAAGCTAAAATCAGCGCACTGTACATTTGGTGTGTTAGGATCAAACAAGGGGAAAAAACAAACACTCAGCACATTTCAAGGGGACGCTATTTACAAGAAGGATTCACTTCTTTAATATTTCAACAACAAAAAACCCAACTAATTTTGAAATCTAAGGCGGCTTAGTTTTGAACGAACACAGAGCACAAACAACATTGCTGTTTGCTGCTAAACACAAGTCTCAGAAATGCAGGGAAACTATGGCCAATTATACTATGGGTGACAAATCGCAACCAGTTGAATAACAATAATAAAAAAACACTTCTGCTTTTTTTAAACACAGTCTCTAAAAAGCACAGCATCCCTATGTTTTCTCAGTCCCCGACTGCTGACACTATAAATTAAAGGTAAAAAGAGATCCATATATAAACAAGGCGGCTTTCCATTGACTCACTGTACTGTTCATGTTTAAACCTTTGGAAATTTCATCCTCAAATACTGTAAGGTAAGGTTGAATTTATCAGTTATAAAACAATGTCCATTCGTACGTGGAATTTGAAAAAACAAACAAAAACAAAACCAAACAACTCAGAAAACCACACCCAAGTATTTACAGCAATTCAGATTTCATTTTTTCCAGCCTTCACACTTGCGTTTCACCTTCTGCAGAACTGTAAACACACTATCCGCTGAGCCCAAGGCCTTATGTTATGGTACGCGGCCTTTTGGGCGGTGGGGGTGGCATGAGTTCGGTGTCAGGATCGAGGTGGTGCTTCCGCGTCTGTCCTTGAGAAGCTGCTGCACATCTGTCAATGAACTCAAACAGCATCTCCTTTGTGACCGGATTCTGGATGCTATTGCATACAGCTGGGAACAAAGAACACGTTCTCAAGTTACCAAAGCAATTTGCTGCAGTTGGCACTTCAATAATTTCATCCCCTCTCTGCAAAATGAATAACATAATGCCACGAACCGATATCCTACTGAGGCAAGCAACAGCAACGACGGCCTTGTGAGACACGGCTTTAAAACACTCCTCAAACCCACACAGCTAGAAACAAGACCAGCCTAACATTGAAACCCTCTGAACTCAGGCAAACAAGTGCTGTAGACACCAAAACCCCACCATGCACAGTACTTTTTTTTAACCCATACACCTGGCGGTGGCAGAAAGACCTGACCCCAAGCAAGCTTCGTGCCTAGCACCCCAGACCAGACGACGGAGGAAAGGCCACAGTGCTGCACGGTGGCCAAGGCACGCATGCACAAGCACACCTGGATTGCTTAACGTGATTCCCCAAGTCACCGTTTGTAAGTAATGCCCCACAGGATTTTATGGAACAAATAAAAAGGCTTACTTCTCTTAAAAAAAATGAAACATTTTTAATACTTTTCCTATGTAATTTTATACTCCTCTGATTAATCCTCCCCAGAGACTCAAAGAGAAGGGAAAAAATAAAGAAACAGAAATAAAGTCGGAATCCTTTGACTATCTTGGAAGGAAGTACAAAACGATTAGAGGACAATTTATAGCATGTAAAGATTGGCCACAGTATGGATGCAATTTCCATGCAAAACAACCCACTGACCCCCCAAAGTACTAAACAACAATAAGACTCCTTAAAATGTACTTGCCATGTAGCATTGTTATGAATAATAACGACTCTTAAAAACACTCCTTTCTTTCCTGCAGAATTCCAGAACCATTCAAAGCACTACTAAAACACTTCCCTAGCATTATTTTTTTAATTATCTTACTTATTTTTGGTGAAAAGGTGCTTTAAAAGTTGTACTGTATGTGACTTTAGTAGTTGAAAAACATTATGGTTATCAGTAGTTTAGGAACAGAAATTTGTGCCACGAGGCAGCTGGTACAGCTCTGTATCAACTTTTAAGGGCTGTCCTAGCTTAATCACCCAAAAAGCCCTTCTCTTTTCAACTCAAAAGGCATCAAAGTCCAAAAGCAAGATGGAGACAGGTACTTATTTAGTTGCTATTTCAACCATGGGCAAAAATGAATAGTAGTTTTCATCAAGAGAAAATAGAGGAGAAAGGATCTAAAGAAGGGGACAACGGAAGTCTCAAATGAGAAAATACAACTTTTGGAGATTTTGAAAAAAGATCAAAAGTGAAAATTTAAAGCCAAAGGAAAACTTTTTGTTCTGAAAACTCCCATGGAAAATCCATCCCTGGAAACATTCAAGACCAGGCTGGACAGGGCTCTGAGCAACCTGATCTAGTTAGCGGTGTCCCTGCTTGCTGTGGGGGTGGGTTGGACTAGATGACCTCTAGGGGTCCCTTCCGACCCAAAACTTTCTATGATTCTATGAAAATTTGGAATATTTCTTACAAAACAGCTCCTCCTGTTGCATTTAATTTTCTTTTAATTTTTGGAAGTTCATTATGTTTTGGTGGAGAAAAAAAGTCAGGAATAACATAACCACTCTACGAATGGAGAAAATGAGAAGTAGTGCAGCTGCATAAGCTCTGTAAGAATGAAGGAAAGAAAAACATGCTGCTCCTCTAAGAAGAGAAAACTCCAAGGACAACCAACTATTGAAACAACAAGGTGAAACAGAGAAGAGAAATTTAGGTCATGGTGACAAGGAGATGTTGTCGTATTTGTATGACTTTTGTGGCCCATTCCTCTTTCCCAACAGGACTGCTCAGCAAGTATTTCACCTACATTCTGTGCTGGTTCTCTAAGGTGCCAACGGATTTATTAACTCCTGGCAAAATGACCATGTTTTGTTTATTCAAGAAAATCTACTCACTGCTCAGGCAGAAATACAAGCATAGTGGGTCAGAGAAAATTCTACACGACCTCTGCATGCCCTAGTAAATAGCATGGTCTTAAACATGATTAAATTTCATTTGGGCACTTAACAAAAGTCAGTACCAACAGGACTACTGGTTTTTAGCCTTGCACACTTCTATTCAAACTCTTAGACTTTGTCTGAAGGTAAACAACATCATTTAAGTTACAATACTTGGCAAAATGTTTTTTGGTAGAAGAACATACAAGTCTCACAATTCTGCAGGGTTGTACCCTCGCCTTTCATTTGTTTCCCTCTTCATTGTTTGTACGACTATTGTAGAACTTAAGATGACATTTTCTCCTATTAATTTTCTAGCCCATCTGCCAAATAATGGTTTTAGTGTTTTGAATAGAGGTGAAATTATAATGGATTTTTTGTTCAACAAATTCAACTCATAGCGTGCCAACTTGCTTTACATCCCGACCAGCCAACACAACGCTAGGAACTGATCTTAGCTAGTTAACTACTGCTGCAATGCTATCGTAAATAAAAACTGTCTTGGGTCTCACTTAAAATGCGTGCTCTTCTTTTTAAAGTCTCTTTGAGCAAGTGTTTGCAGTTCTACAAAGATGCAGACACTTGCTTCTGCATTATCTGTTAAATACTGCATCCGAGTATTTGTTTAACTGACTCTATCAAATAACCCCAAAGCCAAAGGATTCACGCCATATAAAAGCTAAACATGACCTAAGCATTTGCAAGATGAGGTATTACTACAATAAGTTAGAGAAGGCAGGACTATAAATAGAAATGAGAACACAATAGTGCCCTTCCTCCTTAAAACAGAACAGAGTTAAAAAGCTAAACCTTGAGCCTGAAAACTTTTAAAGCAAATCATTCTACTCACCCATGGCAGTGCTGTAGGCATTTGGAAAGCTTTTGTCTACTCTCTGTCTCATGAAGACCCAGCTGTTGTTCTCAAACTTGCACTCTATAATTTTATTGTCGTACTGTTTCAGATCTTTTGTCACCTGTTTTAAAAAAAAAAAATTGCTTGGGATAAACACATTTTAATTCACCTCTTTTTTCGTTCTTTTAGGGATAAATAATAGAAGATCAAAAGCTGCCCTGCATTTTGCAGCAACATGCCTCCATCCTACACAGAAAAACTGTACAGACTACATCTCCATTATACATATGCTCAGCTACTCAACATTTTAAAAATACTTTTCAAATCTTCTGTCAATATAGAGCAATTATATTATGCTAAAACATCAGCAGCTCTAACAGAGGAGGAAAAAAGTCACTTCTGGCCCAAATGCAAATAGGTTTCCATGGGAATAAACTGCTTCCAGTATAAGTGTTACTGCCAGCCTAAGTGCATGAAATGTGTTATCCATGTTTCATCAACCTTCTTTGTTGAAGGTCTCGAAGCCAAATGACAGATTTCAATACCAGAAAGAGCGTATGGAAAAATCATTCCACTCTTTGCATCACTGAGGATTTTTCTTTTTTTTTTCTTCACTTGTCTTTAAAAATTAAGATTGTAACTCCAAAACAATGCGGGATTTCAAGTCACATATGTTCTACATCTCCTTCAGGCCTTTCTTTATTGATTCATAGATTTGTCAGCAGCCAATATCCTGGGCTATTTGTCTTTCTGTTTGGCGACGCTGTGTGGTTTGGAAATGTAGTTTATATGCATTGGACTTCCTAGTTGTTTTGGCTACTTCATCCTATGCATCCTAATCTACGATACAATGCAAAATTGTCCAGTAACCATGGTAACCTGAGAACCTTATCTAACGCTTTAACAGTTTTACCCATATACTTCACTTTGCTCCAGAGGGCCTCTTCAGAAGTATAAAGCTGTGTTTAACTGCTAGCTGCATTTAGTTTGCTACAGTTTACCAACAAAAAGCTGTACATGGTAATGCTACACTTTGGATTCAGGCTCTTACGCATAAGCGCTCTCATAAAAAGGGACTGGTTATTGCAATTCATTAGCATAATTCTTCACCTCTGTTGTCTACTTGCTCCTGAGCGGTGACACGGGAATTTACTACTGTCAGAGGGATGCAGATCTGAAAAAGGCCACAACTGTCTCCAGACAGCTTAATAGCATATCCAGTGGAAAAGCCCATCAACCTCTTTTCCATTAATCCCAGATAAAGGCAATTAATTCATGAAAAGGTCCTGAGCATGGACTGAGCCCTCCTATACTGCATGGTACAGGATTTATCCTTAATTTGATAAGCAGAATCCTAACATTTTTCTTGGAATTTACCCTGAATACTTGTTTTCATTCCCGGATAGGGAGCTCTGGGATTCTGCTTGTCAAGTGAACATGGCACTATAAACTCTTTTGTTAAACCTGCTTGCAGCCGACGCCTGTCCTGCTGCAGGACTGACAGAGTCAGAGTCAGGTTTCCGTGTCACACATTATTCCTTCATCCATTCCATCACCTGCAAAGAGCTTTTTTCCTAAAATCATTTAATCCTTAAGTGAAGTTGGCATCTGCTGATGATCGCTTGGATGAAAGCAGCTGATTGCCCCGACCGGCAATCTCTTCCTTTGCAGCATGCTCTGCACGGCACGTCACTTCTGTCCACCCGCATTGAAAAGCTATATACAGTCCAGATGTTTGACTGACACACATTTGTGGATGTATTTATGCTCCATTAGGTGTATGGAGGAAAACACAACATCCTTTTCTAGCGCGCTATGGATACATAAACGCAGGAATTGACTCTTGGCTGCGCAGTGCCTGGGGAAGGTAGATTACTTTGAAAACAGCTGCCTAGTGGAAGCGGGGGCAGCAGGGGGTATGACCGTGCGTCTGATTTTCTGCCAAAGCAGGGAAATGTTAGAAGGGTCACATATTAGAGAGAGAAATGTATAAAACTGCAGGCAATGGCTGCAACTAACCACCAACCATCTCTTAAAGGCTTTCTCATGGTTTATCATTCTTCTAGTGTTCAGATGCTCAGAATAGCAATAAATTAGATGGCAGCTTTATCTGACTGGCAATTAAGCAGTATTATTAACTATCTAGATACTTGCTTGGCCATTCATTAGCAATCTGGAATACAGATCTTTCCACAAAATATGAACACCTGCCAAAGCACTGACTTCAATAAATCTTCCC